AATAAAATGATTAATTAATTTAGTTAATGATTAATAAAATTAATTAACTTTAATTAAAATAAATTAATCATATTTATTGATCTTAATTTAAGATAATTATATTATTTATTTATCTTGATTAAAGATTAACAGATGTGATTAATTAAATTTAATTAATTCTAATTGATGATAAATTACTCATTCAATTAAATTAATTATCATAGTTAATTAATTTAAATCCTTAATTTCCTTTAATCTGGTTAAAGTCAAATTATCTCTTTTTATTTTAATTTCACCCAAAAATTTTATGATTAAGCAATTTAGTCCTAAGGTTTCAAACCTTTTCAAAGTAGTCCTCCATGTTTTTTTTGAATTTAATCAAATCAGTGTATTTAATTTTTATTTGTGCTCATTGTGCATGCATGCTCTTGATTTTGTTCATTTTAGTCAAAAACTTAAAAAAAAATATATGTTACAATTTGGTTTATCCTTTTAAGTTTGCCTATTTAGACCTAAACAAAGATATAATAAATAAGTTGAATTAAAACCCTAATGTTAAAGTATGTAATTGTATTTAAATGGAAGATTGTGAGATACGCATATGCCTTTTCTCACTCCTAACCGAATTCCCGAACCCTGATCTCTACGCAAATCCGTTTAAGATGACTTGTCATACCTTATAATTTGGACCACGGATGACTCATTTTATATTTTTCACACTTAATTTTTCATTATTTATTTTTCTTTTTAAATTTTGAAATCTTAAGTTTAGTAGTCAACAATATGCATATCCCCATTTTTTTTAGACAAAATAGAGTTTTAAATTATTCAAATATGTTAATAAATAATGCAATTATATTAATTAATGTGTCATGTGTTAAATAAAATTTAATAAATAAAAAAAACAACTAATAACTTAAATTTTGGGCTTGCGGTGCATAGTGGTGAATCAGAAAGAGGAAGTTGGACCATGGGTTGCAATGGGCTTGCGGCATGTGAGGAAGGTGGTGTGGCTTGTGGAGGGGATGACTGGGTGCCGGTTTGGGCCGAAGAAGAGGAACGTGGAAGGTGGATCACTTTGGGTGAGTCCATCGCTAGAGACAATTGCTGCTTGTCGGGCCGTGAAGGTGATGGATATGAAGTGACCTCAGAAGAAAATGGCGTTTGTGCAGGCAGTAACCAATCTTCCAAATTGGGCAAAGATGGAACATAATTATTTTTAAATGGAAAGAAACGTTCATCAAACACAACATGACAAGAGTAAAAAAACTTTTTTGACTCAAGATCAAAACATTTATATCCCAGATTTTTGAGAGAGTAGCCCAAGAATAAACATCATCGAGACCGAGATTGAAGCTTATTATTGTTATAAGGACGTAACCAAAGATAGCAAGCACAGCCAAAGATTTTCATTTTTAAATAATTGGATTTAAGATGAAATAATTTTTGAAATGGTGATTTAAAAGAAACTGCAGAAGACGGCAGGCGGTTGATAAGATAAACAGCTGTAGTTACTGCATATGACCAAAACCGAGTTGGAAGATTTGCAGTATGCATAAGAGTAAGTGCAGTTTCAATAATTTGCCGATTACGCTGCTCACTAATTCCATTGAGTTTGGGTGTGTATGGTGGAGTAGTAAAATGAGAAATCCCATGGTTAGAAAAATATTGACGAAGACTGACATACTCACCGCCCCCATCAGAATAAAACGACTTTATATTATTGCCAAATTATTTTTCTACAAGAGTTTTAAATTTAGGAAAAATAATAGAAACTTCAGATTTTCTTTTTAAAGGATATATCCACATATAGCGAGTAAAATGGTCTATAAAAAGCACAAAATATTTATTGCCATCAATTGAAGAAACTGGGGCAGGACCCCAAACATCCGAAAAAATAACATCAAGAGGAGCATGACTTTGAATAAAAGAATTACCAAAAGGTTGTTTGTGACCTTTAGAGCACAAGCATGACTCACAAGAGTCAAAACCATATTTATTAAAACTAGGTAAATGAAAACTACGAAGAACTAATTGTAAAATTTTAGAAGAAGGATGCCCAAGTCGTGAATGCCAATTTAATGCTGAGGCACGTTCACCAACAAATGCCATGGAAGAAGATTTAGAATTTCCCTTGTCGAGAATTTGGTAAACTCCTTGTTTGTTTGGCCCTCGAAGCAGAATTGCCCCCGTGCGACGATTCCTCACCTGAAAAAAGTTGGGATGCAAAGTTGAGATACAGAGATAAGGTTGCAAGAAGCTTGGGGAACACATAGAACATTATTTAAAGGAATAGAAGAGTTTGGTATAGTTGTATTACCTATGTGTGTAATCTCTAGGCCTGAACCATCGCCAATTTGGAGTTCCTCAGGTCCATCATACTCAGAGTGTAAGGCAAGGTTTGCAAGATCATTTGTTATGTGATTATTGGCACCAGAATCAATTAACCATTTGTTGCGAGAAAGTCCACTGGAAGAAGCATAATTTGCCATCGGTGCTTGTGCTTGCACATGAAAATATGGACAGTTGTTTGCAAAGTGTCCAAGTTGATTGCACAATTGACAATTGAAATTTCTGGCATTGTTGGGCCTCCAATTTTCGTTCTTCCTTCTATTAAATTGTTGCCTAGGCTGATTATAATATTTGTTGGGCTTATTCCATGAATGAGAAGTGGGTTGCTGTGATGAACCATTTCCTGCATAGATGGGTCGATTAGTAACAAAATTATTGGATGGAAAATTTGGTCCTGATGTTGAACAAAATGAGTTAGGTGTCCTAAAATTTCTCTTTTGCGCAGCGGCATGATGGGCAACAATTGGCGTTGCCTTAAGTCTCCGTTCTTCTCGACGCAAGGCTTCCTCATGTGCCAAGAGTCTATCCTGAAAATCTTCAAATGGCAAAGGCGTCTCACAAGCTCGAATGGAGGCGCAAAACTCCTGGAACTCAGGACCAAGGCCGTTCATGACGTGAACGGACAATTCCTCATTTGAAACCGATCGGCACATGTTCTCCAACTCATCAACAATCATCTTGATGTGGTCCAAGTATTCAGTCATTGTTTTCCCTTCACTTCGAAGGTTGTGAAGACGATCTCGCCATATGACATATCGAGTGGTAGATCGATTTGCATACAGTTTCTCCAAAGCGAGCCACGCCTGATTGGAGGTTCTTGCTGTGGCAATTCGTGGAGCAATCGAGTCTGACACAGCAGTAATCAGGGCATGGCGCAAGGCTTGATCTTGTCTTACCCAGATGTCAAACGGGGAGTCTGGAATTTGTTCTGCCAATGATGGAATCGCAGGGCATGGTTTTGTACCCTCAAGAAAATCAAGTAATCTATAGGTGGTCATCAGGGAAGTGATTTGTTCCTTCTCGGTGAGATAATTATTAGGTGTGAGTTTTAGTGGAAATTGAGTTGGATTGAACATGACAATAATGTTTTTGTTGGACTTGGGTTCTTGAGAGGTTGTGACAACAAGGGTATCGGTTTTCCTGTTGTTTGATGAGGTGCTTGATGAAGTGCTTGATGACGGTGAGTTTGGGGGTGAGTGGTCGGCCATGGTGAATGGAACAGAACTCGTTAGAGATTAGGGCTCTGATACCACTAATAGAACAAGGTGAATGGCAGAATTGAATAATAATGTTATTAACAATTGATCACAAATATATACACAGCAGTAGAGTATTGGCCAAGATACATAAGAAAGGAAACAGATAAACTAGTTTCTATTTACACAGTCCAGAATCAAAGATTATATATTTCTCTAATAATGAGAGAATCATATCAAGTAGCACTTTCCTTAACAACTCTAAGTTTGAAAGTCCTACAAACATGTACTCCTTTGTGGTAGTAGATCGCCTGTGCATTATATCATCTTAAGATTTTCTCCTACGCAGGTTTAGAGCAGAAACAAGCTATATAGATTTTGTTGTCTTAATTACTTTAGAGACATGAGAAAATTGTTAATGCTTTCACGATCATAATCGATAAATTTATGAAAATAATTATTTAAATATTGTAAAAAGATATGAAACTTATCTGGTAAGTTGTTAATTTGTTCCTGCATTGCTTCATTATGGAATCTTGCTATGTAGGCTCTTTGTGTCTCTCCTGTCTTCTGTTTGGCTTTTAAGAGATGATGGTTGGTCTTTCGAGGAGCTCAAGCCTACGCAGCTTTCCTAAAAGTTGCTGGAAATTGCTTGCATAATAGAGCATTCGAGGCTCCATATACCATCATTGCCATTCTTGCACGTGCTCCATTGGGTCTTGAGTTCCATCGTATTTGGCTAGCTGCGGAGTTTTGAAATTTGATGGCACAGGTTCCTTGATGATTTCATCTATAAAGGCTTTTTCTACTGAAGCTGTGTGTGCTGGTTCTGCGTACCTTTGCCTGCCTACTTCTATTTTTGCCAGATGTTGTCGCAATGCTTCAATTTCTTTGTAAATACCGTCATCATGAACTTGTTTTTCTGCCTTTTGTGGTTTTGTTGTGGCAAATGTAGCCTTATAGACTTGCTGGCTGTCCCTTCTTTAGCTTGAATGTGTGCGAGGTATCACATTTTTGCTTCGAAAATTATATTGAGTGAAAGCTGAGGATGGTTGCAGACTCGTTTCGATCGTCAATTCTGTTGGTTTTGAAGGTACGTAACTTTCATCTTGACTGCTGTTTTCCTATGTTGAATCTTGCTCCTTCCCTTTTAATGTCTTGGCATCGCTTTGTGACAAGCGCTCACGCCTTACTTCTTGCGATGAGGTGTTAGTAGTTTTTGTCATGGATGCAATGGTTTGCTCGATTGCTTTTAAACTTTGCCTCGTCTCCTCCATGTCTTATGTAAGTTTCTGTATTTGTGATGCCATGGTTGAATCTGATGGTTTTATTTTATTAGCAGTATTTCTTGGGTTTGTTCTTGATGAAAAAGAATCACTCATTTTGTCCTCGCTTTTGGAGCTTGGAATACTTCTACGAGGTCGTGATGAATTTTCTGAATTTTCCATGTGGTATTTGTGGACTGAAAAGTGCCGAGCCCCACGGTGGGCGCCAAATGTTAACACTAAAAAATAGAATAGATGGTGTGGAACCAAGATCTTTATTGATAGAGAGAGTTTACAATGAAGAGAGAATGATGATGATAAATAATCTACCTCCTTGGGTTTATCCTAGAGGTATTTATAGGATACTTAAATACAGTTATTTTAGGAATACAATTTTATTTAATTGGTGTTTGGGGTATTCTTATTCTAGTGCGATTTATCCTAACCATCTATGATAAGACTATCTCTAGAATGTCTCCACATGTCCTGATTCTCATGGGACTTGATTTAGGGTATAACACCATCTGTTTAGGGCAGCACTGCAACACAGTTGACCTGTCCAAGTTTGAAGTTCATGATCCTCATAATCATCTTTGGTTGAATTAACCATTTGTTTTCTAGTGGAAGAGATCAATTGTTTCCAAGCGAAGAGGAAGGTGAAAGACTACGCCATGCACCCCCAAATTATGACATTTGTAAGTTTGATGAAAGCCACCATTTTCTCTTCCTGGTATGTCTCTCTCAAACTGTAGGTCTTGAGAGGAGGAGGGTGTTCTTTTGAACATTTGAAGTTTCACTTTTTTACCTTTTATGTCCTAATGTTTACACTAGTTGTCATCTTAGATTATAAGGTTTTGTGATGTTACAAAATAGTTGTTTTGGCTCCTCATGCAGGAAGATGGTATTGATTTGGTAACAATCATCAAGGGAACTAGCTTCTATTGTTGTGGAAAATACCATGACTGTTGTCAGATTACATGCCACTTACACCTGCTGAATTCAAGAAGTTATATGAATCAAATAGGTAAGCATCTTTGGACAAAGCAAATGTCAATCATGTACCAAAAGGCTAGAGACATACTAGTTGTATTCTGTCATGAGTAGGGTGCAGAATAACGAGAGCTTATCGTTGTGTCCAGAAGAAGAGCATATTAGATCAAAGATTAATTAGTGGAATATTGATGACAATCAAACCTGACACTTATTGTTCTCATCATAGGAATTTTATATATGTTTAATTGAATTGCAGTGCCATCACATATAAGTCTTGATTCTGGATTTCTCAACTGACTTGTTCCTGGATGGATGGTTAAATGCTGCTCTTAGCCCTGTGATGCTCTCAACTACGAAGGATGGTAAGGTGGCGAAGGGTCTTGCTGGGGTTCCATTGGAGGGACCCGTCCTGTACATTGGTTATCACACGTTAGTGGGACTAGAAGTTATTCCCTTGGTATCTGAATTTCCTACTCAGAGAAATATCCTCTTGCGAGGGATAGCACATCCAATGTTGTTTGAAAGATTGAGAGAAGCAGGTTATCTGATGTATCAACCTGACTCAATACAATTAATGGTGGCAGTTCCTGTTTCAGGAACAAATTTCTACAAGCTTGTCTCTGCAAAATCTCATAGCCTGTTGTTCCCTGGAGGGTTGGGTGAGGCTCTTCACAGGAAGGTAACATATTGAATATTTAACTATAGTATTGTGCAGCTGTGATAACTCAACTCTAGGTCGCTCGGCATATTGTTGATTAATTAGTTTTTCCAGGGTGAAGCATACAAGTTATTTTGGCCAGAAAAGTCCGAGAGTTTGTCAGGATGGCTGCTAGATTTGGAGCCAAAATAGTACCATTTGGTGTTGGAGCAGATGATTTTGCTGAAGTAATTTTTATTATAATGATCAAATGAAGATACCTTACTTTAGGGATTTTATAGAAGATTTGACAGAAGAGGCTGTGGTATTGAGTTATATATTCTGATCGACTCTTAAATTACAAAATGCAATCAATGTCCATTTGATGAGCTTTCTGTAATCTTGAAATGATAGGAATGAAGGAGATGGCGAGGTGTCAAACCAACAATTTTTCCAACCATGAATGGCACCAAGGTTTCCAGGAAGATATTATTTTTACTTCGGGAAACCAATTGAAACCCAAGGCATGTACATATATAGTCAGTTTACATTAATTTATTGAGTAATTTTTTTATTTATGGTTTGGCTCATGGCTAGCTTTAATTGAGATGTTAAAAACTGTTTGTTTGGTTTTATCATATAAAAGGAAGAAAGCAAGAACTAACAGACAGGGAGAAATGTCATCAATTGTATTTACATATAAGGTCTGAGGTTGAGAGATGCAAGGCTTGAAGCAGAAAAGAGAAGATCCATACGGGAATATTGTACCCCGGTTAATGTGCCAGGCCACATATGGTTTCAACTCTCAAGTTCCTTCCTTTGAACTTTAATCTTTGTATTGTGTGGCGTTGAATCCCCTCAATGTAACTTAACGAGTACTCGCATAACTTGACACCAAGTAAAACTTTAATATGCATCATTTTTTTTTTTTTTTGTAATACGCATAATTTTTTCTAAAAATTATATGATACAACCATAAAAATAATTATACATAAACT